CAAGATTGTTGTACATGAAAAAAGTGATCATTAGTTACAGGATTTCTAAAACCAGCCCATCTGCCACCAACAATCATACCACAGTCAAAATCACTGAGATCAGAAATTTTCTTATTCTGGTGTTTGATGTGAACATTAACTGAAGCTTTTGACCTGCATAATTTTTTTGTGCAGGTTGCCACATGATGGACTGATTAGGTAAGTGCATGAATAAGCAAGTGTACAGATTTTTCTAATAAAGTGTAGTCTGCTCTAGTTTCTTCATACAAACCCAAGAAGTAAGAACTGGTTTCCACCCAGAACTGGACCTGCATGTGTGTGTCTGTCAAAGGAATATCAAATTCAGCGTTTCAGGGCTATTCAAACTATATAAACAAACATGCTTCACTCATATTGCAAATAAAACCTCATATTTGTAAGTGAAATTATTTTTGTGATTAACGCAGTATTGAATCCAAAAACAGAACTGTAATATATTGCAGTTTACTAATCCTTAAATGTGTTGGTTGCATTAGTTTTCTTTTTTCAGGCATTTTTTTCCTTTATTTTCACCTGGTGATCTGGTCAGTAATAAACTTCCTGATTTCCTCTTCTGTCTATGGTACAGCAAAATAGTCACCCTTGGACAGCAGCAGTGTTTTGAGAGGGTAGTGTTAGATGGACTAGTAGATTTAGTTGGACTTTACATAAGAAACTAATTAGGGCTTGACTCTGGCTAACACTTTATAGTTACATAGTTACATAATTAGTCTGGCTGAAAAAAGACAAAAGTCCATCCAGTTCAACCATTAAAAAAAAAAGTTATAATCCTATACCCACATTTGATCCAGTGGAAGGCAAAAAAAACCCAGCAAAGCACGATCAAATTTGTTCCTGCACGGAAAAAAAATCCTTCTTGATCCCCCGAGATGCAATAGAATATTCCCTGGATCAATTTTACCTATAAATGTTAGTATCCAGTTATATTGTGTGTATCTAGGAAATAATCCAGGCCTTTCTTAAAGCAATCTACTGAGCTGGCCAGAACCAACTCTTGAGGGAGTCTATTCCACATTTTTACAGCTCTTACTGTGAAGAAACCTTTCCGTGTTTGGAGATTAAATTTCTTTTCCTCCAGACATAAAGAGTGCCCCCTTGTCCTCTGTGATGACCTCAGGGAGAATAGCTCTACACCGAGTTCACTATATGAACCACTAATGTATTTATACATGTGTTGATCATATCCCCCCTTAATCTCCCTCTTCTCAAGAGAGAATAAATTCAGTTCCTCTAATCTTTCCTCATAGCTGATCTCCTCCATGCCTCTTATCAGTTTAGTTGTCCTTCTCTGTACTTTCTCCAGTTCCCCAATGTTCTTTTTTTGAATTGTGCCCAAAACTGAACTGCAAATTCCAGATGAGGTCTTACTAATGATTTGTATTATATTTTTTTTTCTTTTGGGATAATGTATTTAACCAAGTGAATAAAAGCTGACCATTGTAAGCACACCTGTTAGTAGTAATTGGTTTGTCTCAACCCTCTAACTGCCACTTTTGCAGCACAGCATGGTTTGCTAAAGAAAGCGAAAAGACAACTGCAGTACCAACAGGTAAAAAAAACTATGTTACAAGAGGGACGCAGAAAAACAAGCACTGATGTGTTGATGCTAATGACAGAATGCATCATATATATGTCACTTTTTATTTTACCTTTATTACCACTTTAAGAGACAGTGACAATATATTAATGCTTTCTAACAATTATTTACACAGACTTTTGAAAGAGAACAAATGCAAAAAGGTGCTGTCGGTTGGGTGATAGGGAAACCGTGATCAATAATGAACAGATCAGAACTAGTCCAACCTGACTCCCTACAAAGCTTACCATTAGCAAAGTATGTGTACAGAAGCATGTGAACTGAGATCATTGGCAGCAGCTCCCTTAAGGCTCATTTAAACAGTCCCTAAGAGAAAACACATGTTGTTATAGAGATAGTGTACTGTCACACACATTGCTTGTCTCGCATTGTACTCCCCTGTAGACAAAAGCTGCTCACTGTTTCCTTGCAGTTCACACCATCAACAGCTCCGCTCTGTTACTTTCAGAATAATTTTTACAAGATTTTTTTGTATTGAACTTTTTTTTTAGTTCTGTCACTGTATAATCATTTCTGAGATATACATAAAATTCATATAAAGGTGCCTGAGTATGGAACCGAAGTGAAGGTTTTTTAGCAAGACTTGCCGTTAGTTTTCTACACATTCAGGTAAAGACTATTACATGACTAATGAAAGATTATTGTATTTATATATTTGCATGACAAGATGTATATTATTATGATTATGATTATTATTATACAGGATTTATATAGTGCCAACAGTTTGCTCAGTGCTTTACAATATAACGGGAGACAAAACAGCAACAATACAGTTCAATACAAGAGGGATAGGAGGGCCCTGATCCTGGGAGCTTACAATCTAAGATTATTATTATTATACAGGATTTATATAGCACCAACAGTTTGCTCAGCTCTTTACAATATAAAGGGAGACAATACAGCAACAATACAGTTCAATACAAGAGGGTTAGGAGGGCCCTGCTCCTTGGAGCTTACAATCTAAGATTATTATTATTATACAGGATTTATATAGCGCCAACAAGTTTGCTCAGCACTTTACAATATAAACGGGACACAATATACAGCAACAATACAGTTCAATACAACAGGGTTAGGAGGGCCCTGATCCTTGGAGCTTACAATCTAAGATTATTACTATACAGGATTTATATAGTGCCAACAGTTTGCTCAGCGCTTTACAATATAAAGGGAGACAATACAGCAACAATACAGTTCAATACAAGAGGGATAGGAGGGCCTGATCCTGGGAGCTTACAATCTAAGATTATTATTATTATTATACAGGATTTATATAGCGCCAACAGTTTGCTCAGCACTTTACAATATAACGGGAGACAATACAGCAACAATACAGTTCAATACAAGAGGGTTAGGAGGGCCTGATCCTTGGAGCTTACAATCTAAGATATTATTATACAGGGATTTATATAACTCCAACAGTTTGCTCAGCACTTTACAATATAACAGGAGACAATACAGCAACAATACAGTTCAATACAAGAGGGATAGGAGGGCCCTGCTCCTGGGAGCTTACAATCTAAGATTATTATTATTTATACAGGATTTTATATAGCACCAACAGTTTGCTCAGCGCTTTACAATATAACGGGAGACAATACAGCAACAATACAGTTCAATACAAGAGGGATAGGAGGGCCCTGCTCCTTGGAGCTTATAATCTAGGAGTATATATACTGTATATACTAGTGTGTGTGTGTATATATATATATATATATATATATATATATATAATATATATATATATATATAGAGAGAGAGAGAGAGAGAGAGAAAGGGAGTGCCAACGATAAAACACATTTTCACAATGATATAGGACATATATACAGTATATATAAAATGTATTTATTTATTTTGGCTACTTCGTAGTTTGTCCAGATTTATTTTGATGAAATATATGCCCAAATGCATTAAAAAAATAAAATAATTTGCCCAGTAATGAGTATATCTTTGCTTTCAATTACACTTAGGCCCCTTTCACACAAGTGGCAGACTCCAGCTGTGATCCGCTTGCTCAGTAGGGGATCTGTCCGCTGAACCCCCTGAGCATGCAGATGACAGGTCTGTATGCAGATCAGACACAGACACAGCTTGCTTTCATTTATGGATGGTCAAATGCAAATGGACCTACTTTCTGTTTACTCCCGACTGCCATCGGATCTGATCTATTGGACAGAAGGAGACAGATCCCGATCTGTCTGTTTTTGGTGTTTCAGATTGGACACGGACACAGCCCACTTTCCTCTATGGGCAGTCAAATGTAAACAGACCTAATGTCTGTTTACACCAGACTGTTGTGATGTTTCCAGTTGCCTATTCTGCCAAAAGAATTTGGCAGTATGCAGTATATTGGAAATTGCTGCTTCACTTTGCAGCATACCAATATGGCACCCTAGCAGGTGTGCTGCAGATGATCTTAAAAACTTCTCTATGGGCTGATGTCCTATTGGCTGTACACATTGAGGTCGAGTTAATAAAACTGAAGAGTGTGAAATCTGGTGTAGCTGTGCATAGTAGCTGGTAGCCAATTGGCTTCTAACTTCCACTTGTTCAATTAAACTCTGACAAAAAAACCTGGAAGCAGATTGTTTTCTATGTAGGGCTGCACCAGATTTTGCACTCTCCAGTTTTAGTAAATCAACCCCATTGTGTATCTCTTTGGATCATCTATTGCACATTTCCATGGACATTTGAATGTGAGGATTTGGCTTGCAGTGGTGTATACTCAATAAAATGGAGTTCATTAGTGAATGTGACTGGACATACACTCCTATACACCACCCTCTTTCCAGCTGTATAAACACTTTTTGGCTCTGATGGCAATCTGTCTTCTAATGTGGAAGTAACCATTTGACTATAAGAATGGACCATCTGGTGTATATGCGGTAGGCGTATGTTCTGAAGAAGCAATTTAATCGCAAAACACATTGATCCCAGATGCCATATACAGGACAGTTGCATATACCAAATCTTATCTATGCCAAATCTCAGCTATAAAAAATTGAGAGATCTTAACATTTTATTAAGTTGCCCTAGACTTTGTCTATTAGTTGTTATAATAATGGTGCTGCTGGTTTTAGGGTTGCACCGATACCGGTATCGGTATCAGTGGCAATATTAAGCATTATTTGCACAAGTACTCGTGCAAATGCTCAGATACCTGAACCTGATACCTTTGCAATGCCATTTGAGCCAATACAAAATGAATGGGCCCAAATTTCACTGCAAAGAATTGCATGTGATTTGAACTGAAATAGCCCTACTCAGGGGCGGACTGACCATTTGAGCACTCGGCACTGCCCGAGGGCCCGGGCTCAGTAGGGGGCCCCATTAGATGCCCCTGGTACCTTTCATTGGCTTTTTCATAGGCTTTTTTGAGTTTGGGCAAGGAGACAGGGGCCCCATGATCCCCTATTGCCCGGGGGCCCCGTGAGTTGTCAGTCCGCCCCTGGCCCTACTGAATTAGTGGATTCCTGTCCGAGTCACATGCAGTTTCCCTATAGGTGCAATGCGGTGCGATTTGCTTCATTCATTTTATATGGCTCAAATTGCACTGCAATTCACACCGCATCAACAGGGAAATGGCATGTGATTCAGACAGAAATCTACTTTAGGTGAAGTAACACAATTTCAGATCAAATCACATGATTCTTTGTAGTGCAATTTGAGCCCATTCATTTTCTATGGGCTCAAATCACATCGCAAAGGTATCAGTAATTGGTATTGGCGAGTATTTGAGCACAGATATTGGTACTCATACTCCCCGATATGCAACACTAATATATGTGTTTGTTTTTGCTGGGTGGCACACTAAAGTCTCATTTTTTCCTCATCCTGCTTTATTTTGGGGGTAGAGGTTTTGTGGTTTCATTTAAATGACAGGATAATGCCCACAGCGCAATTAACATAAGGTACAAGACGCACCCACCCTCTGTTTTTCCTCTGATAATGAAGGAATGTTCCACTCTCGGTTAATAAAAGTAAGAAACCTTGTTTACCACTAACTGGTGCCCAGTGCCACGAATGGACTTCTACTGTTCTGAGCCAGATATTGAAAAAGCACCATTTAGTCATTTAGCTCAGTTATAAATTTACTGAAATGATTTCAATGCATTTTTAAACAGTAAACTAGTTTATGTAACTGCACATTTTTAGAAAAGGCTCTTCTAATACATTGCACAGCAGCAGCTAGCCTGGGACTGAAGGGGTCAGCTATTTGAGCTGGCCAGCGCTATAAAGCTTAGTGCCATCAGTAGGACACTGTGGGGTTGATTACTAAATTTGGTGTACACAGAAATTGGTGTAGCTGTGCATAGTAACCAGGCTGATGTCCTATTGGCTGTACACATTGGGGTTGATTTTGCTAAAACTGAAGAGAGCAAAATCTGGTGCAGCTGTGCATGGTGGCCAATCAGCTTTCAACTTCAGCTTGTTCATTTATGCTTTGGCAATAAAACCTGAAAGCTGATTGGTTACTATGCAGAGCTGCACCAGATTCTGTGTGCACCAGTTTTAGTAAATCCCCCCAGGTGAAGTTGCCAACAGAAGGAGAGAACACAGGGATGAACCCATCAGTGCTGTATTTGTCCTTTATTGTACCATTCATCAGTGGTTTGAGGGAGGATATTGGACAAATCTACTGTATACTGCCTAAATGCAGTGGAGAAAAATGAGGTCATTGACCTGGCTATGTTGTCTACCAGGCATTCCTAGAGGACAAGATCAATTAAACAAAATTACAATTTTTATTCCAACTAAAACATTTCACATACATGCAGTGCTAGGACAGCATTAAAAACAGAGAATGTAATTCCCCCACACTCCCCCAAATGTTTGGAATGGTGTTCCACTTTTGTAAATGACTGAAGATTTGTTTATATATTTCCATCACAAACAGAGACTGGTAATCCATAAGGCAACCAAAGTAGGAGCCTAGGGCCTGGTAGATGTCCAGAGGGCCCAGCTACAACATTCATGTTCCTGCAGTGTACTGGGGGATGATCAGGACTGCTGTTAGAAACCACGGGGCCCCTTACAGCCAACCTGACAGGGCCCTCCCAAACCACAGGGCCTCATACAGCCAACCTAACAGGGCCCCCCCCCCCCCATTCTTACAAAAAAAAAACACAGTTTGCTATGCTTCAGTTATGAATGAACACAGCGAGTGATTGGTACCAATTGTCTTCATTCAGGAATGGAAGGGGATGGTAAATTACAGTAACCAATCCCCTGTATATTTCTCTCTGTCGCAGCTGAAAGCCAGCCAGGAGCAGAACCCAGCTTTCAGCTGCTGCAGAGAGCCATACAGGGGATTGGTTCCAGTAATTTCCCCGTTCACCCTTCCTGCCGACATCCGATTCACCCAGATGCCTTGGCCCCCCTGCAGGCCTGGACCCCATACAGGAGGACTGGTAGTACCCCTTTATCCACACCCCTGGCGATGATGCATTTGGCCAAAGCTGTGTACCCTCTTGTAAGTTTACAAGGGGGAATATACTTGTAGGCAGTTGGCAGACAATGCCAATGGGGACTTTCTGTGCCTACTACAAAGCTTATCAAAAGAGGGGATGGGTTGCCAAAATGGTACCTTACTTGGGGCCTCATCCTGCCTTAACCCATCTCTAATCCCAAAGAAATTACATATGCAGTGTGAGCAGATTACATGTTGCAGCAATAATTTATAATCATCTGCATGGCCCAGGCACAGAACAGTCAAAAGCTACAGCTTTTGAAAGCTAAAGTCTCCATTAGTCTACTATGCTGATTTCTGAACAATTGTAAGATTTAAAATAAAGGTGTCTATGGTGTTACATTTTTTATTGTTAATGACTTGGCAATAGCAACTTGATAAAAAAAATAAAACCAATTCCTGAATTGTCTTATATTTTCACACAAATAGTTCAATACAGCAAAATGGATCTAGAAAACATAAAAGATATTCTCCATGGAAAAGACGTGCCTCTCCCTGCAGAGTCAACCAATACTGTCCGACTCTTCATAAGCTCCACATTTGCAGGTAATATCATGAAAGATGTCACCAGGCACACAGCACACATTGACCACAGCCGGAGTGTTTTTTTTTTTTTATATTATTTCCTCTGCAGGACAACTTTTTGTAGGAAAAGATAGCAGCTGTCACTGTGCAGAAGAGGTCTCTTGTACACTGTATCTTGTTTACCTACATCATTAATGACAATGATAATATGGATATAAATATATAATGACAACCTCATTCTTTCCTAAGGCTTACCCATTTCAAGGAGGCTATGCTGCACTGCTTCATTCTCAGAAAACATCTCGTAGACCAGCCTTTCTCAACCAGGGTGTCCAGGCACCCTGGGGTGCCTTGAGGTTTCTTCAGGGGTGCCTTGGCAAAATGTCTAAAAATTGCCCAAAACTTGTATACAAGCCAGCAGGTGGAACAAGCCTGCCTTTTAGTTACACAAAGTCGCAGGTTTTCATTGCGCACTATTCATGACCTTCTAGCCACCGGTGTCCTTTCAACCAATGGCATCATCAGTTGATAGGAAGGTTGTCAGATGCCTACACAGCATCCTAGTTTGACCCTCCCCATCAATGCTGGGGCCACATTAGGTCAGTGATGGAGAAAAACTGAGGGGGAAGAGAAACATTGGAATACTAGTCAGTACCAGTGTGCAAAAGTGTGTTGGCTCTGGAAGAATAAATCGCCTAACGTTGGGTGTCCTACATGTGTAAATGTTACTGTGTTATATAAAAACTATTAGAATAGTTGTTCACATTTTAGAAAGGGGTGCCCATTCTAAATTGGGGTGCCTCAAGACTGTCTATCATTTTAAAAGGTGCCTTGGTACTGTCCATAATTTTAAAGGGTGCCTTGATTGAAAAAAAGGTTGAGAAACACTGCCGTAGACACTAGGGCCTTCAGGTATCATAAAAAAATATATATTATTCACACATCCTTATTGCCAGATGGTTCATTTCAACAAAAATCTTCCTATACAATTATATGTGCATTGTATGTTTTTTATGTATCTTGTTTACCAGAGAAAGCCCCAAAAGTCCTGAGACTGTAGGGCACCATCATCTTGGGTGTGCTGTCAGCAGCCCCAGCAGACTCAAGTGGCACTCAATAATCTCCTTCACTTCCTTTCACTCTTTCCCTGGCAGTTACATAAACAGGTTATTTAAGGAGGTGAAGGGAAGGGTGCATGAGCTGGGCCAGCACAGACAGTAATTAGGCTTTCTTAGAGACAGCAGTAACATGCATGGAAAAAGGGGGCTGTGTTAGGGATTTGATTCTTCCTGGAGTAGTCAATTTTTCAATGTCAATTTTTCAACATTATGAAAATTTTGCATTTAAATAACTATATTTTATGTGCTTTTACTTGTGTTTTTTAGTTAGTGGCACAATCTTTTTAAAAAGGATCATTCCGGAAAAAGTAATCCAATTGGTACATATAAGTAGAGATCCCTCCTGGGCCCAGTAGAGTTTATTCTTTAAAAAACCTGGAAATCAGTTCTAACCACATGGCACACACTGGTAACAAACATTGTTAGCATGCTTTTTCAGTTCAGTAGCTTAAAAATAATATTTTCTTTTGTCAATACACTTACAGAAGCCTTGCTACAATGACTGTAAGAAGATACTGGCATTTTCAGTTGTATGAAGCAGCAATTGTAGTAATGTGACTGTGATACTTAACACACTTTATGGTATCAAATTATATTTATAGAATACTGTATTTCTCTAATTACAAATTTTTAGTTACTACAGTATTGCCGTGTTTCATTTTGATGTTACGTTAGCATTTTTACAATTTTTTGTTTTTGTATAAAATATAGAGATTTGTAGATTAGCCACTAGAAGGAGTTCCATGATTTAGATTTGTATAATTAGAAGGAACAATAAAGAGCAGCCATTGTGTAAGACTTTAAAGCAAGGCATATATACCGGTAATAAGCAAATATGACTTCCTCCATGTATGTGTGTACATCATTGAAAATTATACATAAAAAAAAGATTTTTAAAACATTAACATACACTGACAAGGCTGTATTTAGATATCATACTGCTTTACGCACGTCTAAATAATACTTTCAGAAAAGCTCCAACCTTTCTATTGCGCTTTTTTTTTATTGATTGCTAGAATTTGTTACTGGTGGAAGCATGCAGAATACTTAAATATACAGCATTTTTTGTGAATATAAAGCTGGCTTTAGTAGAATTTAATTTGAAATTTTTACCATTAGTAGAATTTAATTTGAAATGTGTTGGTTTTAAGAACTTTTATTTTGTAATTGCTGGTGGGGTAAAACCACTGTTCATTTTCGACCATAGTGACAGGAAGATTCAAAAGAAAAGGATGAAATTTTTTTTAGAACTACTGATTTTCTAACAATTTATGTGGTTTTTGTTCATGAAATTATATTAAATTCAAAATTGGTTGTTATTTATTTCAGGTACTTATATAGCACCAACATTTATGCAACACTTTACATATATATTATACATTTACATCAGTCCCTGTCCCCTATGAGCTTACAACCTCAGGTCCCTAACTCACATTCATATATACAGTGAAGGAAATAAGTATTTGATCCCCTGCTGATTTTGAATGTTTGCCCACTCACA